ATTATCCATCATGGTTATAGAAGTTGAAGATGTGTATATGTCACTTTGCATTTCCCAAAAGGGTCCACACATTATAAAGGGAAAAGCGTGCGAAGATTGTAACACAAAGATGTTCATAACACCAATCATTATAGCAGCCAAATATTGGAAATAACTAAAATGTTTCATAAATAAGGTATGGGATAGATAGATGAACTATAGTTCTTATTAAATAATTGAATATTAGATTATAGAACTTTATTATTCAAATAGGAAAATACACATGTTCTACTGTTAAATGAACATTAGGTAGCAGTAGTAAATCAAGCATAATTTTGAACTTGGAAACTAAATAATATGCAATATTATTTAATTAGTAGAATGTAAGTTTTATGTGTGTTTTTCACAGAAAGGACTTCCGAAATGTTAACAGTGCTTATCCCTGGGTAGAATAATTATTGATTACTTTATTTTCATTGTTTTTAATGCTGTCCTACACCTAATGAAACTCCCGTATTCTCCAAACACTACATTTATAATCAGAAAGGTAATAAAATGACTTAAAAGTAAAAAGAAAATGCTCTCTTGCTGTGGCCAGATAGTCTGTATTCTAGTTCTATCTTTGCCTGGGGAATCTTTAGGAAGTTTACTACACTCTCTTAGACCTGTCCACCTTACCTGGAAAATAGAAATACCAATAATGATACTTGGTCTTTTAATTTTAAAAGGCAGATGTGAAGACAAAATGTGGCAATTCATAGGAAAACATTTTGCAAACTGCAAAAAAAGATACATATGATAATGAGGAGGAAAATGGAAAAAAAAAGGCAGAGAGGAAGAGGAGAAGGGGACAATGAATTTTTGGGATTGAGAGATGAGAAAATGAATGTGGCTAGTGGTAATATTTGGAGACATCATCAGAACAATTTTTTTAGAGATGGGTGTCACTCTGTTGCTCAGGCTGGGGTGCAGTGACCATTCATAGACACAATCATAGTGTGCCACAGCCTCCAATTCCTGGGCTACAGTGATCCTTTTAGCTCAGCCTCAGGAGTCACTGGGACTACAGGCATGTTCCATTTCTCCCAGGTAAGAACAATTTTCTTATGAGAAATGTAAACTTTTTGTTTTAGAACTGGGGAAATTATATAGTGTTAAATTCAAGTCATTTTTATTCCTGCTATCAAGTTCTACAGAGAATGGCCTGGCCTGTGAACCTGCTTAAGAATTAGGCTGGGTCTCTAGCCATTGTTTCTTTATGCAGAAGATTGGAAGATATGAGTGGTGGACATGGGAGTAGTGGCAGAAGCAATAAATGGTCATTTAATTAACTCAAATAGAAATCTTATTTACAGAGAAAATAAAAATAAATGCACAGCTAGTCATCAAAATTTCTTTCCAATTCCATTAACAATCTCTGAGTCCCCTTGATCAAGTCTGTTCCTTTTATTGGCCTTCAGTGTTCTCCTTCATTCAACAACAGGTATCAACTAAATCATCTCCTAAGTCCTCTGAGCAGTAAAGTTCTATGAGTCTTAGATTTTATAGATTCTATATATAGATTCTACACATATTTACCCCTATCATCTTCTATATTCCTGTGAGTTAGGGAATCTGAGCTAAATTATTTCCATTCCACTCACAAAGACATTCTTTTGGCTGCCTTGATAAAGCTTGCTTACTGCTAATTAGTTTGGCTGAAATATTATAATATAATGCCATTATAACATTTTAGCTTCTAAATTTCTGTTTCTTCATTTACAAGCTGGGAATAAAAAGAGTACCTACTTTGGATGATCACTGTGTAGTTACATGAGATCCTATACCAAAAAATGACTAGGACAGTTACCTAGCACAGGGTATGTGTGCAATTAAAATTAGGTGGTAATACTGATGTGATTTGTTTTGAGTTTTTTCCTAAATTTTTTTTTGAACTTAGCAGCAGTTGTGAGAAAACTCATTGAAATCTGGAGTTTGACTCAGAGACCTATTTCTTGATTTAAAACTCTATGGAGTCACATCCCACACAATCTAAAGAGTGCCATGTTCTTTCATTAAACGCCCAATGGGTCAAAAGGTTCTTGTTGTTCTTGAAGCCTATATTTGGCTTCATTGGAGCCTCCACCAGCTAAATTCATATTAAAGCTAAAAACTAAACAAAATAAATCCAAATTAATGTATGATTAATGCACGGCTTTTTAAGAAAGGATAAATAGAGCATTTTATTAACACTTTTTTGCTGCAACAAAATGACAGTCCACATATTTTCATTCAACACAACAAAAGCTGTGATCACATTACATCACTTTGAGGCACAAAGCAAAGGGTATTTTTTTTCTTAAGGTAAAGAATGATTTGCATTTTTAAAACAAACTTCATGTTTTATATTTGCAGTAGCAGGGCCTCCAGTCACTAGCACAATACAATGAACAGATCAAATATCCAGAATAGACAAAATACACCAATAATATTTTGAGTTGAATTGGGAAATGCATTATCATAATTTTAGGACATTATAAAGAGGTCTGATGTTAGCTTTTTTAAAAGAAAAAAAAAATCATTCCAACCACCCAAACGGCTACTACAAGCAAAATGAAGGTAATATACAGACAGGAAATTGTATGCATTGCACTTATTGCTTGGTACACAAATGTTGCAATTCTTGTTGAGTTATATTAAGAAATGACAAGCAAAATGCCTCTTCCCCACCTAAAATTCTATGACTCTATGAAAGTAGAAATTGCAATTCCCTAACCCAACATTAGGTGTATGCTATTTTTGGTTTTGTGTGAACATTGTTTATTAAGTTTCTGTGTATGGACATGTATAAGATATACAGATATATATAGAGAGAGACCATTTTAATATAATTTATTGTCCTATATATTTAAGACAAATATTTCTTAATAGGACTTTAAATAATAAAATTGCCTACTTACAATATCTCTATGAAGTTAATCTTTTCATATTATATATAGCTCTGTGGCACAAGTTTCATATAGTATTTAATCATGAAGGAAGAAGGATATCTAAACCATTTTCTATTTCTTTGTTCTTAATATTGCATTTTAAGGGCTATATTTCCATAGTAAATTTCTTATTAGATTCTTTGTGGTGTATATATCTCTTTTTTTTTCTAATGCAAGTTACAACCAGTACAAAGTTGTAATAAAAATACATTGAAGTTTATTTCTTTTTATATTTTTTGCAAAAAAGTTATGTGATATGCTACATGAAAAGTTTGATTTTATTGAAATGTGAAGTGTTTCATATTGTTAGGTAAATGGATGGAAGAACATGAAGCATACCCCTCAATTTACATGTTCTCTTTCACAGAAATAAGTGTTTGTGGCCAAGCATTTCATAGAAAAGACTGCAAGATACTCCTTTTGAGGACTAACAAAATATCTTACATTATGCAATTCAAATAGTTATTCAGTACAACTTTGCAGCTGATAGTTCACAATGTACTTCTTTGAGACATATCCCAACTCCCTGATTTTCACTTAATAAATGTCGCCTCTACCTGATGCAGCCAACTTCTGTATGCTATCCTGCAATACAGTGTAACAAATATATAAGTGCGTTTTGCATGATCAAGTAGCTTTGGCTTCCTAACTTTTGTAGGATGAGATGTTGTGCTTTATTAAATAGTGATGAGTTTTAGCTCATATGAATCCAAAGGGTAACTACTTGTTTCTACAATTTTGACCAGTCATCCTTTTAAGTCACAAATGCAAGAATGGATGACTTGAATGGAAATGATGGAACTTCACAATTTTACAGATTGCACTTGATGGTAACCTCATGGGTTTGTTTTGTTTTGATTTTAACAGCAAGACTTGCCTGGTTGATATGTTTACATGTTTATATCACGTGTTTTTAAATTTTTTGTGTAATCACATGAATTTAATCACAAACACTAAAAATAAATCCAGTAATTAGTTTTGTTATGAATAATCAACTCGGTCCTTATAACTATATGAGTCTTGTACTTCTCCTTGTACAAATTCCTCTTTCTTTTCCCAACCACTGGGCCAACCTCCATTGGCCTGTGTTGTGGCACCATAAGACTTGGTGGTACCATAATTTATATAATTTTGAGTAATGTCCCCTGTTTCTTCATCAAGTTCATCTTCATGAATAAATCCACATTTTTCTTCACTTGTTTCCTCAGGGTCTGCCCAGGGTTGTTTCTCTCCTGAGGCAAATATTGCATAAAATATAACTCCACCATAGTGGACTAGGGCAGCGATCAGGAAGACATACTGCCACTCTTCACGTGACTGCAGTGACAAAAAGCAGCACTGTGAGAACAGACTCCCCATGATTTAAACGCCTAATGTCTTCTCTGAATACACCACCACTGAATTTTCATGAAACACTATATTTGGGGAAATCCATGTACTGATTATGTGAAGCAAACACTCTATATAACACTTCCGTAATACTATTACTTTTATTATTTGATGTTTTAAATCTAGAAGTTTAGAAATAAAATTCCAAATATATCTATGGCCTGCTGATTTTTAAAATATTCATAATCTCTTTTCATTTCCATTGATTTACTTATCTTTTTATTCCATTTCTTTTGTTTCTTTACTTCTAGTAAACCAGAATTTTGAAGCTCTGCCTACACATATAAGTACAAATAGCTGATGATAATATTCTCCCTTGGACAACTGCGGAGGAATCTGAATTGAGGTTTAGAAATAAAGCTCAGAAGACATCTGCTTGAGTATTTTAATAAGCCAGAGAAAAAGGGGGTTTTTATCACATCAGGGGTATCAGAATTATTAAAAAGGGTTGAGAAACCTATTGCTTATTGGTTAGGGAAATTGACTTTCTTGGAATTCTTAAAAAGATTTTTTATTCTGAGTCTCATTTATCTTTCCCACTCAGAGATGTGGTGACTGGACAAGAAAGAGAATACTAAGGATAATATTTTAACTCTTTTCCAAAAAGATTATCATTTTGAGAAACTGTCTTCTATGAATAAACATCTGTTTTGGCCACCTTACCTTATTCTTTGTCATTGCACCAACAATGATAGGACAAACCATTCCTGACAATGTGCCAACACCATTCGAAATGCCCATTAAGATACTGGCATATCTTGGAGCAATATCCAAGTGGTTAACATTGAAACCTGAAATACACACATAAGTTTTGACTCAGGGGATCCTAAACTTCTTAAAAGTAAGTACCTGTAAAACCACACATCACAACTCCTTAAAATATACTGGGTTCAGAGCACGTGCTTAATTATGTTGTGATAATTTCTCTTGGGGATATAATGAGAATAGAATGAGGTATGAATTCTTATCCAACACTTAATATGTGATGTTCACTCCAGAGAGGAGGTAATGTTTTCTTAACAACAACAAAAAAAGGCAGTCCAGGAGGACATTGAGTATTAACAAATCTAAATGTTTTCTAAATATTTTATTTTTTTCATTTTCTAGTGGAAATATTTGACTATTATTCAACCTATAAAAGATATATATGAAGATATCTATAAAAAGATATATGTATGTGCCTTTTTATCAGCAGTCAAAATCAGAATGTCCCAAGTACAAAGAAAAAATATGTATCTTACCAGATATAGCAAATCCACTGAATCCCACTGCAAGTACCAAGAATGAGATTGCTACCCCTCTAGTATGAGAATAGCCAACAACCAGGAGTAGTGTGGCTTCCATGCCAAAACCTTCAGAAGCAAACACATAGAAATTCTTCAGAAATTTTTGAATTTTTACCAGTGAGCCAAAACTGCTAAAAATGTTCCAATTTATTAACCTAGAAATTCCACTTCAGAGAGTCTACCTTCCAAACTAATAATAATAATAATAATAATTTTTATTTTATAATTTTATTTATATTTATTTTATTTATAATTATTATCCTAGAGATTCATGAAGCTTTCCTTGTGTTTTAATAAAAACATCCAGGCCAGATGTGGTGGCTCATGCCTGTAATCCCAGAACTTTGAGAGGCCAAGGCGGGAGGATCACCTTAGGTCAGAAGTTCGAGGCCAGCCTGACCAACATGGAGAAACCCAGTCTCTACTAAAAATACAAAATTAGCCGAGCATGGTCACCCGTGCCTGTAATCCCAGCTACTCTGGAGACTGAGGCAGGAGAATCGCTTGAACCCGGGAGGCGGGGATTGTGGTGAGCTGAGATCATGCCATCACACTCCAGCCTGGGCAATAAGAGTGAAACTCCATCTCAAAAACACAGAAACAAACAAAGAAAAACATCCAAAACAACCTAAAGTTTCAGTGATGGGAAGAGGTAAGTTAGTTACAATAAATACAAATGGCTTTATTTATTTATTTATTTATCTATTTATTTATTTATTTTGAGACGGGGTTTCACTCTTGTTGCCCAGGCTGGAGTGCAATGGTGCGATCTCGGCTCACTGCAACCTCTGCCTCCAAGGTTCAAGCAATTCTCCTGCCTCAGCCTCCCAAGTAGCTGGATTACAGGCACCCACCCCCATGTCAAGCTGATTTTTTGTGTCTTTAGTCGAGATGGAGTTTCACTATGTTGGCCAGGTTGGTCTCAAACTCCTGACCTCATTATCCACCCACCTCGGCCTCCCAAAGTGCTGGGATTATAGGCATGAGCCACCGTGCCCGGCCACAAATGGCATTATAAAGCAGTTACTTAAAACTAGGAGTTATGAAAAGTTTGACGTAGTATGAGGAAGTTATTTTAAGTGAACAATGAAGGCACAAATGCAACTGCATCTAAGTAATTTGATCTGTGTAGAAAAAGTTATTTTCTCATGTAGGTTAAACTGATTGAACTAAAAACATGTCCTTAGTGCCACTTATGTACTTACCACCACAATTCATGATCTTTCTCACTGTTGTAGTTGAAAGAATCTGCTTGCTTCTTAGAAAATCTGCAATTTGCCCCCCAATAGGCACAATAATTGTCATTACTAAGTGTGGCACAGCAGATAGCATGCCAACCTGATGAAAAACAAGAAGGGGGAGAAATAGACATAACCGTAAATAATATGGGTAATTTAATGGCCTTAGTTTCTGAATCTGTCATTACATTTTTATGGACAAAGGAAGGAAAAATACTCTTTCCAAATGATCACTTGCTCATTCCTAGAATAAGTAATGCTTTCCACAGAATATATGAGAAAAGCTAAGCAAATTTACTTGGATCCCTTTCGACCTTCTGTGAGAAGTAATATATATATATTTTTTGCTATGTAATGCATCAGTAAATTTTGAGTATGATTCAACTCTTCTGATATTGTTAAATGTGTTTGCACAAATACATCCTTAGTGAAAGAGAGCAAAAGTGGCGAGAGAGAGAGAGAGAGGAAAAATACATTTGTCACATCTTGAAGAGGCTGTATTTTAAATTTATGTTTAATTCATATGGGAAAAATGCATATTTGTACTTTATAGATATCTTATGAGTAAAAAGCACAGACATAATTTCTGTAGAGTAAGATCCCAGATAATGCAGATAATTTCTTCAATTTTAAGTATTTTCTGCATCAAATATCAATACTTGATCACATTTTTGTATTGTGGCATGTAGTTTCTCAATTAGTTTCATGCTAAATAGCCTAATTTCAAACTTTACCCACCAGGATCAGTTAAACACATATTTTTAACCATTACTTACACACAAAGCACTGTGTTCTAAGCATTATGGGGACAGTAAGTATAAATAAAATGCATTTAAATTATGTATTACCACATACGTGGACTTAATAAACTTTGAATGTAAACATATAAGGAAGTTTTTTTACTAAGTAAACTTTGAAAAACAATTTTTGGCAGATGGCATTCATAATGTGTGTTTAAGTATGTCTTTCCAATTAGATTATCGAAGGTTTGACACAAAGATTCTATTTTATTTTACACTGGTATATAGTATGATATCACAATCATGGATTTGAGTTGTAATGATTAATTGAAATAGTAAATGATTCCACAATAGGTTAACTGTTCAGGCTACATAATGATCTCTTCCATCCCAGATGGATGATATTAATAGTCTTCTTACTAAGTAAAAAAAAAAATTGAGAGTCAGAAGACTTAAGTGATTGTGAGAGTCAAGTTTCGAATCAGTTCTACCTGAGTCCAAAGACTGGGCTCTTAGCCTTTATACTTGGCACCACTGCCATGAGAAGGAAAAATCAAATGAAATCAGACGATATATATTAATGTGCTTAGTCTAGTACGAAACTTGGTATATAGCAGGGGCTCAACAGGTACCTAAATAAAGACGTCAGGTAAACTGACATTAGGAAAAAAAAACAACAACAACAACAAAAAAAAAAACATTATTGCTTTTGAGACTAGCATCTTGAGAAAACTACAAGGCTTTTTACTCTTAATATGGAGTAAATATATTTCAAGCAGTCAATGTGTAGAAACCTTTGAACAAAACAAAAACGTTCTGAAAGACACTATGTTAGGATTTGTGTAGAATTACATGGTATGTTTTTGGCATTTATAAAGGCAGGCTAAAAGTTTGGAAGTAACCACATTGCCGAAGTCCACATAAACGACTTGCATTTTTACCCAGTGTTTAATAAGTCTGAAAAGTTTTTTAATTGAAAATCCTCTGTTATTTACTATGTATTCGAACAATCATTTTGACTACTTTGGATAAGAAAGGAACAAAGCTATGGTTATTTTTTCACACTTTCAGCAATGGGTATGCAAAGCACTATGGAAAATGCAAGGTGCTAACAATCTACAGGGTTAATCAGACAAGTTTTAGACTATTTTAGCGTATTGATTTAACATTTAAAGGTATTGACTCTCCTAGTTTCTTAAATAATATGTGGATATACTCTATATTTCACCTCAAAAGAGCCAAAGAGGTTTCAAAAGTTTGTGAGTTATTCAGTGGTCTTCTTGGCTTTTGGGGACTTATGAGGAATCACTTGTCACATGATCAAAATGATTAAAACCTTCCTAAAGATCATTTATGTCAATCACGTAAAAGTTTGCTTATTATTTTAAGGTTTTGAAAGGATAGGATAAATGTTTTTGAGCTTATAACTGATTTATTCTTCATAGAAACTCCAGTAATTAGATTTTTGTCCCAGCCTTCTTTTAGCTTTTCTGGGTCATAGTCTAGATCGTATGTCTTCCTATCTGATCCATATTCTGTTCAGAAATAGCAGCAAAGCACAGCCAGCCACCACTATTCTTCTCCTCCTTAAATAGGAAGCTCAAAAGGAGTGGACGTCTGTTCTCATTTGGCTTGCCCCTTATAATATGACCTTTCAAAGTGCTGGTTAATCCTATCACTGACCTGCTGATATGCCATTTTTAAGGGCCTGAAAATGTTACAGATAAGCATAGGCTGATATAATATATTAAATTATACGTGTATGTGTGTGTGTGTGTGTTTTAGAAAATAAAAATAAAAATATATATACCTGATATATATTGTATTAGCTTATGCCAGTATATAATTATATATATATATCAGTTAAATAATATAATTAACTTATATAGTTAACTGATATAAAATCTGTTATAATTTTATTTATATATATGGTGCTGTCTTAACTAAGTCAGTATAATTAGAATGAAGATCAAGCCATTGCACTCATGTTTCTTTCTGTAGGATACCCAATTTAACTAAAGTTGAAGAGAATGATCTTCCATGTAAATATTTTACTTACTTTACCTAAATTTGGATGCAGCTTTTAAATAATATCCTTATTATTTAACGGTATTAAGTTAATACCATTATTTAGAGATAAGAAAATTGAAGCCGATAATTACTCAAAACTATGCCCAAGATTATATACCAATACTTTGTTGTAGACCTTGAATTTGAAGCCATGTCAGCTTAGACCCGAATCTAATTCTCTGTGTTCTCCAGCATGTCCTATACAATTTTTTTCAGCTAAGTCAGAATTTTTTAAACCAATCTAATTAGTATATGAAGACCAATGTGTCTGTGTGAATTTATCCACAATTTTCGTTCAAAATATAACTAATGAATGAAATAAACCAACCCATCTGCTGGTTGATTTATAATTAGTTTTTACAAAATACCATTGCTTTTACTCAAGCATCCTCAATTAATTGGAGCTAGACGGCCAAAATGACCACATAGTTTCATTAACATCAGTTGGCTTCGTCACTCTCCCCCCAAGACCTGACTTTATTCATAGCCTCTCAGTGTCATATTTGTCCTAGATTATGAAAATGGACTCACACCTCCAGCAGCCTTTGTTGAGAAGTATAACACCTCTCAGAGCTCCCACAGGCTACCCTGGAATGTTTGATCAGCTCTAGAGAGAAGAGCTCTGTCTAAAGCAGCCATTCTTCTCCGGGATGGAGGAAACAGTTTCCTTAGAAACAGGAATTACAAAAGAGCTCTTAGAATAGCTACTCCTAAACTGAGGTTTTCTTCAGTCCCAGGTCTCAGTCTTTCAAGTAGAGACAGAATATGAATAGCGAGCCCAGCTGGACTTATGTAATGACATGAAGAGAGATAGCAAGACCATTGCCAGCACAGACAATGTATTCAGGACTCAGCAAAGGGCTTGACACAGAGATGGCATTGAGCAGATACTCACTAAATACTTGAATGGATATATGATTTACCTGAATTTGAATGGCATAGTGAAGATAATTAAACAAAAATCAAAGAATCTTTGTCTAAATTTGATTTTGTCATGCATTACTAGCGTGGCTTTAAGCAATTTAATTACTTTCCCTAGTTTCTGTTTCCCCATCATTTCAATAGAAATTATAACTGTTGTTCAACAGATCAACCAGCAAAAGTTGTTCATGAATATGAGAGTAGTTTCTAAATTTCAGGTTCCTATATAAATATAGAGTAGTATTTTTATATTCATTTTACCCTTATAGAAAATCTCAAGATGATTATATTCCCATAGCTATGAACAAATGTCTGTGGAAGTTTGCATGCTGTATTCTAATTGGTAACTTATTTTCATGTTTATACCACCAAGCTGTGAGCATTTTGAGGACAGAAACCATGTTTTTATTTCTGCATCTCACATAAAGTTCTGCACACTGTGTTCAACAAATACTTGTTAAATTAATAAATTGGATGGACAAAGTATAAAAATGTTTTCAGATTTTCTTTTACAATCCTCCTATCTTTTCGCTGGATGAGAGTTCTAGAGCATTGAAGAATAATTAGATTGGAAATTAGTAAGTACAATTATATTTGTGTGGAAAACTTTTTTTGTTTGTTACATTGTCTGTGACCTGAGACTTAAAGGGAGTTATGCTTATTTACAGGGAAAAGATTACACTGCTGCTCACCCCAACTGGCCTGTAAGTTCCATGAAGGCAAAAACTAGGTTTGTTTTGCCTGTATTCTCAGTACCAGAGAGCAATTATAGCAGACAATAGAATACAGTAGACACTGAAACATTTTACTTTGCTTCTATTTCCTAGCAGTTGTTTAATGAATAAATGAATAATCTCTGAAAATTAGAAGACAAAAATTTTTGTAAATGAATTTAAAATTCACTTAAATACATAGGTAATCCACAATTTATATAAGAATACATTTTACATACCTTGCTAATTTCAAATCCAAAGACTTCCTCAAAATATGCTGGCTGACTAATAAGCAATAAATAAAAAGTCCAGCTTCTGCAGAAGTTTGCAACAATTATTGCATAGACTGGCATGGATGTAAAAAACTTCCTCCATGGAGTCTTGAATTTCTGAAATTCCAAAAAGAGAGACATTATGACCATTTTAAATATTTTCAAACTTAAGTGGGAATAATAGGTGCTTTGCATTTTCAGGATGAATATGACAGGTCATAAGTAAGAGGTAGAAAGATGTAGTGAAGCATTAATTATAACCACCCAGTTAATCTTAGCTACATAAGTAATCATTGGAAGAAAAAAAAATATGATCTCAATCACTGCAACTTATTAGATTATTCCAGCTTTAGGAATATACAGGATTACATAATTATAGAAAATTGATTCCAAAAGCATAGGTCCTAGTTTCTAAATTTTTTTTTCCTTTTTTTAAATTTTTTTAATGGTAATAGATCGCATCTCAGCAAAAATTTATTGCCACATCAGTGAGCTTGTGATAGCCAAAACATTTCATTTAAAACATAGAAAATCCAATGTATTCATGAAGAGAAAGATACAAAAACTTAAGAGTACAGTATTCTAGACTAAACCCTACCTGAGGTCAATTATTCTACTACCAAACAATCTAAGTCAATTATTCTACTATCAATCAATCCATACATTCTCTTGATAGCTAGTAGCTTTAACTATAAATTCTGTGACACTAGAGTTCAAGGTTCTATAAAACTCATAACAGCTGGGTGAAAGCATTTGTCTATCCCCAGCGTACCTTTGGCACTTAACTAGTTACTTAAAATTTCAAAGCATTCAAAATTAACAACCTAAATATGATCAGCTTTGCATATGACCCCTTTAAAAAATTAAACCTAATTATACTTAAAGTTTCTGTGTATGCCAAAATGTAAGCAAGTACGTATTCTCCCCCAAGACTAATATTTTTAGACATTAAAATATCTCTCATATTTCCCGATTATTTCTCAAGTACTTTATTTTGAACACCAAAATACCATTTGGTGTGGAAACAGTGGCCTAAAATAACTTTGTTAAAAGCTAACTTGGGATCCTTGACCTAACTAAATGACTGAAAGAGGAGGCAAACATCTTTCACGCGGATTTAACAATTATTCCTGAATGTAAAACATCATAATTGCTAGTATTGGTTGTGGCTGTAATTAAGCCATTTAAAGATCACTTTAAATGCAACACAGTAGGAAGTTATGATGTGGTGATCATAGATATATGAAAGACAAAAAAGAAACAAACAAAAACAAAAATCTGTCCTAATAATATGTAATGAATACTGTGGCTTTGGATAAAAAATTTTAGCGGCAGCATCATAAATAGGTTCAAAAAGTACAGTTTTTAAAAAGAAATCAATATGTTCTAAGAAAATAATTCCAGATGAGTACATTCATTTCACAGATAATAAAAATGTCAGAAGACAGAAATGTCTGCATTACGGTATTATGTTAGCATAAGAAATGACTCCAGAATATTATTAGAAGTAAAGGAACTTTTCCCTGCTGGGCAAAGATCCTTTCATTCATACCAGGATCATCTTCCTAAGAACTTTATTCTTTACATTGTAAAGCACTTCATCAAAAGCAAGAGAAAAATATCTCATCTTATACCTTAAAAAATTGTTGGGGGATTAAAGGGAAGATTATGGTATTCTGATGATGTTCTATTTATTGAACTGGCTGTTTATGTCTGGTTTATACAAATTAAGCAAGCTGATTGTTTACTATTTGCGATTTTTTTCTGTACATATGCTATATTTAAATCTATTTTTAGAGAAAAATAGATTTAAAAGACATTGCCATCAGTTGCAATGTGTGATTCTTAATCAGATTCAGATTCAAAACAAATAGCTAAAAATAAATTTGAATACAGGTTAGATATTAGAATGTAGACAGCATTAGAAATTTGAATATGATGTAGGTGTTAAATGATGATACAGAATTGTTTTTAATTATGTTAGGTGTGATAGTAGTACTGACATTGTGAAGGAGAATATTATTTTTCTAGAGATACACATGAAGTTTTTATGGATAAAGTAGTTTGACATTTTATTTACTTTGAAATGGTTCATCAAAACAAAAGTGAAATAAATAAGCAAGATGGTAATTGTTGCACCTATGTGGTGAGTATATGATATTCCTGTCAGTATTCTTTCTCCTTTGCTGTATATTAAATTTGTTCACAAGATAAAAGTTCAAACTAGAATACAAGTTATATTCCCACAAAATCTCATTTTAAAATTTACTTTCAAGCTACAGGAACATATGAAACATCAGTAAGAAGTAAACTATTGTGTTTAGAAAAGCAGTGAGGTATAGGAAGCGGGGAGCTGAAGATTATCTGTGCTGTTTTTTCATTCTCCTGCTGTTCTTTCTGGGGTCATTTGTAGGAATTAGTTTTTACCTAGACAGAATTTCTGATTATTTTTTAAATTTATTTCTAATCTAGACATATGACCTCTCAAAAACTGGTAAATAAAAGAACATAATGAATTAATAGGATATAGATATAGGCTGATCACATTGTTTTGGGGCTAGAAATCGAGGCTAAACTCAAAACTTGCCAGAAACCAATCTCCATTACCTTCTGCTCAAAATAACTGCAACTAGTGGGCACCAGTGCATACTACCAATCTTCCACCCACTCCCATATCACCTCTTGTTTCTGAGTAGCCACCATAAGAAATTATTAGTCTATTTACAGAAGGAAACACAAAGGGGAAAGTTCTAATGCCAGGCTAACTCATGGAACAACTACACAGTAAAGACTTGTTTAAACCATTGAAGTTCAACTTCTGAATTATATATGATATGGGATTTTTCTTATTCATTAAAGGCCAATTTGGCTCAGCAATAATGGGTGATAGACTTTTTTTTTTTTTAACCTAAGATGAGACATCAAAGACAGGCATTCTCTAACAAATGAAGTAGAGAATCTGAGCTAGAATCAACCACACCTAGAATAGGGAGGGAGAGATGTTTGTTTTAAAAGAACAAATGCATAATATGTAAAGGGCATTGATTCTTCAATTAGTGTATGACATCTTCCAGCTCTTAGCATAAGGAAACTATCATTGATCAGATCACCGAATGCTTCAATATGTCTAAATACACTACTTTTACTCAACAGTGTATTTTTGTGGTTTTTTTTGTTTTTTTGGTTTTTTTTAGACTGAGTCTCGCTCTGTCGCCCAGGCTGGAGTGCAGTGGTGTGATTTCAGCTCACTGCAACCTCCACCTCCCTGGTTCAAGCAATTCCCCTGCCTTAGCCTTCCGAGTGGCTGGGATTACAGGCTCACGCCACCGGGCCTGGGTAATATTTTTGTAGTTTTAGTAGAGACGGGGTTTCACCATGTGGGCCAGACTGGTCTCGAACTCCTGACCTCAGGCAATCCACCCACCTCGGCCTCCCAAAGTGCTGGGATTGCAGGTGTGAGCCACCATGCCCAACCTTCTTTTTAAAATATAATATCGGGGGGCTTTTGTATTAATTACTATGTACAATATATCAATGTTACATAGAATACAACATTTGCATTATTGAAATAGAACTATGTTTTCTCTCTTTTTAAGTAAATCAGAAGGAATCAAATCATCAGGAAAAAAGGGCTTCAAAACATTGCCTTTATGATGCTTGATATTCATAATAATAATCCTGAAAGATAATGATATTTTATCAAAAAAATAATTAAATTGTTATAATTATTTTATATCAGCTGTCTATTATTGGTGTTCTAATGCTTCAGTATCTCCTAAACCACAGATGACATAAATAGGCATGTATTAAACCTACATTTAGAACATAGCAGTCCTCCCTTAACCGTGGTTTCACTTTCTGAAGTTTCAGTTACTACTTGCACAGTACAATAAGATTTTATGGGAAGCGGGGGGCACAGTTAACTTAAGTTTCCTTACAGTATATTGTTATAATTCTTCTATTTTAATATTAGTCACTGTGGTCAATCACTTACCCAATTTACACATTAAATTTTATCATAGATATGTGTGTATAGGAAAAACGTTTTATGTAGGGTTCGGTACTAGTCACAGTTTTAAGCAACCCGGGGGGTCTTGGAATAGATCTGTTGAGGATCCAGGGGCACTACTGTATTCAATAAACCAAAAATTGCCCTTTTCATGACTGATTTGGATTTTTAAAATTTAAAATGGACAACTATTTATTGTATTTGTTTAAATTATAGACCATATTGAACTGTTTAAAAATATTGTTTAGGTTTGCCGTTATAGTTATAACCCAGTGTACATTTTTAAATGCTTAAGAAAGGCTTAAGGAAAAAAAATGACAGATGGAGGAAACAGCTATTATTCCTAAGTCAGAGAATATGGATGGACCAAAAAAAAATAAGTTATGACTGATACCAAATTAGTTTTGCTGAAGAAGAACTTGTGAGATAGTTTGGTTGGTCAATGGGGGCGAGATGGGAATGAGATAGGAATATACACCATAATAAAGTTCTTACTTCCATTGCACCTAAAAGATTTGCACTCTCTCCAATGCTTTCTTCTATGTACCTACGTTCTTCATCTGTAATAGTAGGATGCTTTGCAGGACTTTCATAAGACACCAAAAGCCAAAACATGTACCAGACCATTCCAAAGCTTCCTGCAAGCAACAGTTCAGAAGGAGAAAGTCAAATCTATCACAAATACTTCCATTTAACAGTGATGTGCTGGAATAAAACTGCAATCATCTCATGACAAACACATTCTATTAGAAAGAAGAATTCAAGCTTATGTTTCTCCAACTGACGTTAGCCATCTTTTCTTCTCTTTTGCCATTATGCTTCAAACTTCTTAAAGGTCAGGCCTGTGGTTTTATCTCCTTGTCTCTATGAAATAGCACTGATATACAGTAAGCCATAAATAATTATTTTAACGGTGTAGTTTGGAAGGTATTCATTCATCCGACAGTACTTAGCAGTTAGCATTCTAGGCACTCTGGTTAAGTGCGAGAAATATAATGAACAAAACAAAATTCCTGTCCTCAAAGAATTATTCTGGGGGTGAATCCTTTTCTTTATTGCCTGCCTAGAATATACAAAAGTGGTTTCATTTCCAGATAAAAGAATTGCTCATTTCCCTCTCCTGTTAGCACTTCCAGATCTGGCAAACAGACTATTAAATAAAACCTAGATTATTTTAGCATGAGTGCCTACATTACATAGAAAGTGGGCCTCTGTACTTAATGTGGTAACAACACTTTTCGTGACTGTATGCCATATTATTTTCACCACATAGTATTGCCTATTGATCCTTCTTTGGGCAGGTGAAAGTTATAAATTCCAAGGCCCTAAACTGTAAATCCTTTTTCATCCTCTTCTTACCATTAAAACATGTCCTTTTTGTGCAATATAAATCTGTAAGCATTAATAGTAGCAAGAATTTCAAGTGATGTATTCTAGTTTCCCAGCAGTTGACCATTTCATTTTTTTCCCTCACACTGTTCTCTTTGTCCCTTGGGTAACAATCTAAATGCTCCTGATCCCTACAACACTTTTTCTTTGGCCTATCCGATCTCTAAGAAGTGTTCCTTAACACCATAGATAACTTCTGATGGGCTGTGTCCCTTTTAATTACTCAACATTGAAGTAAACATGATTTAGGTTCAGAGAGTGCTTAAAAATTCAGTATAATGTAGTGTTTACAGAATATAACTCCCAGATTCAAATCCTGACTGTGTCACTCATTCGCTATATGATCCAATCAGTAACTGAATCTCTCTAAACTTCCACTACAAAATGAGATAATAATTCATTTTTAAGGAATTATGGAAAAGTCAAAGGAGGTAATATATAAATCAACAAGCACAGTGGATGGCACAAAATAAGCACTCAAAAAATGAGAGATACTGTAATTTTATAAGAATTATCATTACCACTAATGGAATTCACCTAAAGTGCCAGATATGCTGCTAATTACTTTATATGTATTATCCTTTTTAACTTAACATCACTATACTGATCTTATCTCTTTAATCTTTAAAATATGACAACTGAATGTGTGACTCCAGACCAAGTTATTGTTACACACAGCAAGTAAGCATAAGCAAGCACTATGATATGACATTTTCAGATTATCTGTTTACATTTTGTATCATTCAATGATAAATATCAAATGAGATATAACTTGAAATAATGATATTGGTTGTTTATGAGTGCCTTGTTTAAATTTGTATTCTTTCTTTAAGGTCACATATCTTCAATTAAGTAATAGATTAAGGCACAAAACAAAGTATTTAATGGATAGCCATATCAACTTATGCAATACATCCTATGAAACAAGTGCTTTTAAACTTTGTTGAATTATGCACTCCTTTGAAAATCTAATGAATGGTATAAATTAAAATCTGATTTTAAAAAATCTCCCTAAGGAAAAAACAAAGTTCACAAGTACATATATGGCTTGCAATTTAGGGCATTCATGGATCCAAAACCCATCCATGGCTTTTGAACCACAAAAAGTGTCCCTATGATAAGTGACATTTAATAACATTCTACAAGCCTAACAATTTGTTCTGATGAGAACATTTCAAACTGGGAATGAATCAGGGCAAATTTAGAATCAGCCAGATACTGTTCTACCACATGACTTCATTAATATTTCAGATTCTCTTGGCAATGTCCAAAGATGATGTTAATCACTGACAATATCAGTTGAGATCCAGCTTTCCTTTATTTTTCCTTTACCATTATTAAAAAATGCCTCTTAAAAAGAAAGACTATAGGGATATTTTGAAATAGTTACAAGGTGAATATCAAGAGTGTTTTAGATTTAGGATTACATATTTTATTTCAACATGGAGGCTTAATTCCCTTTAATTCTGGGGAAATGAGGACTGAGATATGCTGCTACAGCAGCTAACTGCTGATATTTCATCAAGGAATTGAATAGTCGCATCAGGACCACCATCCCCTTTCAGCTATCTTCCCCCATTCAATCTTGAAGAGGCAGAATCAGGAAAATGACCAAGAAGGCAATAGCAAAGAGAGGTGGGTGCTGCCTAACTCCTTCCTCTTCATCAGCTTTTAATCAAGAGATAATTTAATATTTTTTCATAATAAAGGACACAGATTTACTAAATGACAAAGTTCCTGTCAGCAATGTGGTTGCTTTTTAAAACAAGAAATAGCAATCTAAGAAAAATAACAGAGATGAAGTGTTTTCTAATCCTCTCAGAATACAAGGAAAGGATTCTTAAGAGAAGAAAATAAGTAAGTAAACATAGAAATGAATTTAGTGATAGATCTCATTGTCTGCAACCACTTTTCTTTTAGCCTATGCACATTTCATTTAACTCTATTGCATAGAAATATAACATACCATAGACATAAAACACTGAAGACCAGCCAGTGTACTGCACAAGAATGCCAGCTAAAGGCATTGCAATCACAGCGCCGGCATAGGAACCTAAAGTGTAAGGAAGAATGGGAGAAAAGTGAGTGAAATCTCACATCCCTTGGTTTATTCACAAAGACACTTGCACACTCAGGTATATGGGACTCACACCCAGACAAATTCCCACCACCACCAAACATATAAATGTATACATACGTACACAGAAACACGGGATTACACAAGTGGATATCACCTACCTCCTACCCAAGACACGACAGATATTTAAAAATAATAATGGAGCCATGCTGACTGGCATGTGTCCTGCATGTCTGTGTGCTGAACTTGGGACAGAGTGTGCCAATACGAACCAGACACCTGAAATCTATTCTTGCCACCTCAAGCATGTATCTTCTTGTAGCAAATTCATGCAGTTTCAGGTTTGTGTAGTTTTTTCTGACTTCATTTTAATTTTTTTTTTTTCTGCCAGAGGTCTCTTTATTAGAATCCATGATTGAGGGCATATTGCTTCAGTTCTGAATGCATGGCCGGAAGATATCATCAAGGTAAGTTATCATGTTTTTCCACCATGACAAATTTGTTTTCTTTGCTGTCCCATAAAACAGTTTAAAACATGCTGACAATTCTCACAATAAGAGGTAGCATTCATTAGCTTTTCTAGTGAATACCACCTGATTTACATCCCTTTGAATTTTACATAGTGGGTTATTTTAAAAAAAAAAAAAGATCTTAGACATATAGGTAGAAATGGCAATATTTGTGCCTTGGGATTTAGACCCAAATACAGGCAAATTCAACCTCTATAGGCAATAATACTGCTAATCTTACGGCTTAAAGATACAGTAAAATCACAGCAGCCTTAATTTCCTATTATTAGGATTATTTACAGTAGTTCTTATATCTGATTTGGAAAGGGAATTGCTTTCTTGCCTTACTGCTCTGGTAGAAAGAGTAAAACATGCATTCTGCGGGCATAAAAGACCTTAAATTATACTGATTGTCTTAAAATGTTTTAAAAGTTAACAATGGACAAAAAGTAGCTTCAGATTACCAGAAAGAGCGCTACACTTTAAAAGCTGGGATTGAAGCTTTAATACATGTTCATTAATTCTACTTCTCAAAATAGTAGTAAGGTCAGTTATGATCCCAAAAATAAAAGTTCTAATGAATGGGAAATTATAGCAACAGTGCTTAGGAGAACACTTAAAGATCATATTAATTTAATTAATTTAAATTATAATTGTTATTTTCTATAGGCATTTTATTCACTGTAATTCAAACATATAGCTGTATCAAATAAAAATTCTGAGAAACTGTTAGATTTTAACCCCAAGCAGAATTCAAAGTAAATTTAATATTTATTCATAAAAATAAATACATAGTCTAATTATGTTTTTATCTCTGTAAACGTGTTTAAAATTTGTATTTTTACATTTTTGTGTCTAGGTAGAATAAAAAGAAAACTCTGAGGTTCTCAGAAAAATGTACTGCAGTATAAGAGTATTATAAAAACCACTCATGAATATATTTGAAATCCTAGATGAAATGGATCAATTCCTAGAAAAATACAAACACAAGAATAAATAGAAGATTTAAGAAAAACAATAAAACTAAAGAAATGGAAATGGTGATTAAAAACCTTACCACTCACAGATGTGCACACAAAACCCAGATAGTTTTACAGGTGAGTTTACCAAATTGTCAATTCTTATTCAAGTTGTTCCTAAACTTTTACCCACCACAGCTGCATCTGCACACAGTACTCACCACAGAAAGAAGTGGTTGCCAGTCTACTCCTCTCTAGAGGTGGGGCCCATTTGCTCCATATCCCATGACATGCTGGGTAGGTAACACCCTGTGATGGAGGAAGATACACATCACCATCACCATTTAGCAACAAGAGTCTTTTTAGTATTTTGTTCAAATCCTCCCTGGCCTTCAGACTTCTTTCCACCTCAATTTTTTTTTTTTCTGATTAAGGTAAAAGAAAAGACTGTATATTAATCAATTTATCTGCAATTCTGAACAGTTTGAAAAAATTCAGGAGATCATTTTGTAGGGCATTAAATTCAGTAACTCCCAAATATAAATATCTATACAGAGAAAAGTGAAGTTTAAATCCTTGGAGCTCACACTTCCTGAAAGCAGTGTCTAACCTTTAAGACCTTAAAATAGTTAGTTTTTTCCTATTGTTTTGAATCTATCCTTTTATATATATATACTTTTGGAGGGAGAGAGGGGTTTTTGGGTTTTATTATTATTTTTTTAAGTTCTGGGGTACATGTGCAGGATGTACAGGTTTGTTACATAGGTAAATGTGTGTCATGGTGGTTTACTGGACCATCATCTAGGTATTAAGCCCAGCATTCATTAGCTCTTTTCCCTAATGCTCTCCCTACCCTGCCCTTCCCCGATAGGCTGCAGTACGTGTCGTTCCCCTCCCTGCATCCATGTGTTCTCATTGTTCAGCTCCCACTTACAAGTGAGAACATGCAGTGTTTGGTTTTCTGTTCCTACATTAGTTTGCTGACGCTAATGGCTTCCACCTCCACCTGTGTCTCTGCAAAGGACATGATCTCATTTCCTTTTATGGCTGTATAGTATGAGAAAGGGTTGGTTTGTTTGTTTGTTTGTTTTTTGTTTCGTTTTATTTTGTTTTGCTTTTATGTGCCTTAATAGTTTACGTTATTTATCTATTTCCATTATACTACATGGAAAAAGAAAGGCAAATTGGTAAGCCAAACTTGAGTTTTTAAGTAGAATTCTTTCAAAGTCTGCAGACTGATGGAGCAAGTTTTGATCATTAGAATTAGCTGACCCAAAAATGTATCCAATGAAATATTTAAGTGAAAACTCATATCATGATTCAAGGTCATCAGGAATTTACTTAGCATAAAACTCCCAAGATATTAATTCGTGGTTAGCACCAGCAAAGGACAAACTCTAAAATTCTTATCATGACACATTAACAAAAGTCCCTGTTTTTTAAGTCAAATAGGCATTAAAATATTTCTTTAATCCCACTCAATTCTAGAGAGAAGGAGGTAAGTAGTGACATTCATAGCTTCATATCATTTATGGACAAAATATCTGATTGCCTAACATTTTCAGCGTTTCATTTTTTATTTTAACTCTATTTAGATACAACCTAATACAATATATTTATTTACAGATAAAAACAAACATAAACTGGTGGTTCTCAACTACATGCCAATCTTGAAACGACTTCACCCTGAAGTTACATACCTCAACAAGTCCCTGCAGTATTCTAACAAAGATGACACATCCATAATGCACTCTGGCTGCTGATGGAATTAGCATATTCAGGGTAGAGGTAAGAAGTATGGCAGCTCCAAAAACCCTGAAATAGAAAAGATGGGAACACTGTTTAAATGATTCAGCATCTTACATACACATATATAAATTTCTCAAGTGAAATTAAACATTTAAAGTAATAAAAAAGTGTCAATAATTTTAAGGTGGATTGTTTTTTCTAATATGTGTTCTGGATTTGACTGGCTAGCCATTGTAAATACACACATGGGCCATCTAGAAATTCTACATTTGATGCACCAAAATATAAAAGAAGGAGTCAATACGTTTACTATTCGTAAGGAGCCAAAAATATACTATTATTTTCTTTATAGACTTAATTTAAATTGTAAATATTTAATAAATCAGTATATGTTTTGGACTCTATTTCAGTCTACAAGGTAAACTGCTTCAGGGTAAGAGCTTGTTTTTCACATCCATTGTATCCTTGACACTCAGCACAGTGCCTGACACACAGCTGGTAATAATTCAAGAGTTACTGGAAATAATGAATGCATAAACAAAGTTATTCCTCACATTATGCAACTATTTGTAGCTTTCCTAGAAGCTGTACATACATAGAAATTTTATAAACGAACTCGTATTTTAAATGTCCCAAGAAGTCTCTTGATTGCCCTTAGCACATGTTCTCGAAATAATGCAAATAATTACACTTAGTATACCTTTCTCGGGTTTCTCATTTTTTTTCTTCTATTTGAGACACATCTAGAGCAGCATACATACAATCATTCAAGAAAAAAATGCTAGAAACATCATGCCAAAGCTTGTATCCATCTATAAGTAAAAATTCCATTCCTTCATTAAAAAAAAAAAAAAAAACTTCTGGTCAGATGCAGTGGTTCATGCTTTTAAACCCAGCACTTTGGGAGGTCGAGGCAAGCAGATCACCAGGTCAGGATCTCGAGACCAGTCTGGCCAACATAGTGAAATCCCATCTCTACTACACAAAATACAAATAATTAGCTGGGTGTGGTGGTGTGCGCCTGTAATCCCAGCTACTCTGGAGGCTGAGGCAGGAGAATCGCGTGAATCCAGAAATCAGAGGTTGCAATGAGCCAAGATCACACCATTGCACTCCATCCAGGGCCACAGTGTGAGACTCTGTCTCAAAAACAACAACAAAAACAACAACAACAACAACACCACACACTTCTATAATGTTTATACCAAGTAAGAAAAGTATTCCTTTAGCTGGGTTAGTTTATAACTATTTTCTTGCAAAGACGTAAAGATGTTTTGGGACATGCTAACTCCAATGAGCTAATCTATGTATCTTAGGCAAATTTTATCAAGTCAAACATGAGCCTTAAATTCAGTCAATGTTGGTTGCCTCATAGAAGCGCTAATCTTTCTTCTGGGCACTTTTAAGAGTTACTGTTAAAGACCTGGATTTCTGAAAAGGACCGTCTATGATTATTATTAATCTGCTACAGAAAGGTGAGAAATGACATCACAAACGGCAATGAATTAAAACAACTTCTTTTCTACTGATCATATACTAGTCAAATAATTTTGTGTAAAAATATGTGTAACCTGTATCCGCCTTCCCTTAGTGGCTTCTCTCCTCTGAGATAAATGGTCACTCATGAAGTGAATATTCTGCTCCATTCTTCCACTGTGCTGTTTGCCCAAAATAGATGTCCTTTTGTTTTAAGCCTAAGATAATTTTGCATGCTAAGATTTGAGGGAAATCTTTTATCCAGGTTTATCTAGTATGTGTGTGTTATTTTATTATAATTGTTTTAGAGGTATGATGCATAAATTTTATTTTCAATGAATGTAACATTCTATCCTCACTTTCTCTCCCTTTTTGAAGGGTTTGTAAATACGATTGTCTTGTGATAAGCTGGTGAGAGATGAATATTACCCATTTTTTAGCTTAGTTTCTTAACCTCTTTATGATTGAAATTTCGGCCTAGATAACCCTTTGTTGTGGAGTGCTGTCCTGTGTACTGCATGATGATTAGCACCATCTCTGCCATTAATTCAGTAGGTGCCAGTAGCACACACCCTTCCTCTAAGTTATGGCAACCAAAAATGTCTCCAGTAATTGTCAAATGTTCCCTGTGAGAAAAATCACCCCCTTAGTAAAGCTGAATCAAGTATGAACTATTCATTGAATGTACACTATAGTCAGAGTTAAATTTAATGAGTGCTTATTCGACTTGCTAGATACCATATTAACACTTCACATGCCATAAACTCCACAAGCACCTAACGACCCAGCAACATGGATATTATTCATATACCAATGTTATAGATGGAAAAACTAAACATAAGATAAGTTAAATCACTAGTTCAGATTATTAGCTGGTTTTAAATAGAGAAAACCTGTTTCAGATACAGTTCTGTTTTATTTAAAACCCAGTGAGTTTTGCCACTAGGATTTATACCTGATTATGCATATATTAGGTAGTTAGTAATATGCTTCAGCATTCTAACTGTAAATTTAAATAATAATCTTCACAAAGCCACTTGATATCACACTATTATTTCTGAAATAAAACGCTGAGAGATTACTTTCAATGTTTACTTTCCATTCTTGCACTGAATAATATTTCTAATTATACAATATCATATCAAAATTGAAATGGTTTTAATTTTAAGTTCCTTAATTTCTACATAGTCTCACTCTGTCACCCAGGCTGGAGTGCAATGGCATTAACTTTGCTCACTGTAACTTCTGTCTCCTGAGTTTAGGGAATTCTTATGCCTCAGCCTCCTAAGTAGTTGGGACTACAGGCCCATGCCACAACACCTGGCTAATTTTTTGTATTTTTAGTAGAGACTGCGTTTTGCCATGTTGACAAGGCTGGTCTTGAAGTCCTGACCTCAAGTAATCCACTCACTTCAGCCTCCAAAAGTGCTGAGATTAGAGGTGTGAGCCACTGTGCCCAGCCTCTTAATTTCTTTGTCTATCCTTTTTTCATTATCAGTGGCTACCGCACCTCAAAATCCATTGATTTTCTTGTAACTAGTTATGAATCCATCAAACTTTACAAACCTCATCTTTTTATTAATTTTATATAATTATTATCCTAATTAATATCTAAGTAATTAAAATTCTGATTGTCAAAATTCTTGCCCTAAATGGAAAGCCTTTACACTTTGTCTTGCCATACAGCCAAAATTAAAGCAGTCTCCCCATTCAATATTTGTTCATGCACTCACACTTCAAACTTCTGTGAGACTGTATTCAGAGGAGAGTATTGTGTGGAGGAGAAGGTAAGATTTACAGGTCACTTACTGTAATTTCTCCATTTATATTGACTCATTTAATCCTCACAACAACTCTCTGAGTTGTTAGACTTTCCTCTCATTTTATGAATAAGGAAATTGAAACAAAGTGTGGCCAAGTAAAAAAGCAAGTAGTAGAGCTCAGATTTAAATCCACGGCTCTCTGACATGAAAATCTGTGCTCTTTCATTCACATGATGTCAGCAGGCACTTAGAAAAAGAAGATAGTGGACCTCAGTGTAGTAGGAGAGGGAAAGAGAGACAAGTAGTCCAGGGACAATGTATGCCAAGGGCCACAACATAAGTACAGATAGAAAACAACAGAGACAAACATTAATCTCAGCTGAGTTGACCAAGTCACAAACTTTTGGTAGGGAAACTTTGAAAGATTAATATAAAAAAGAAGAAAGACTTTCCAGAAACAAGGAATGGCTCAGCAAAGCTTCACAAATGGAAGAGGTTAGCTTATGTACCAGAAACTAAGGAAGTATTGAAAATGGGTGAACATAGTGGCTCAGGTGCTTAGGAGAAGGAAGAACATCTAGAGTGGGATGCTGGATGAGGAGACTTTGAGGAAGTTTAGGTAGTCCAAGAAGGTGAAAGGTGAAATCCATCAGTCTGTGACATCTTGGAGATGACTGAGTTTGGGGTGACCACAGAGGGTGACAATTATGCCACTAAAGTGAGGTAAATGTGAAGCTTACTGGGATTGAAGGGAGAGGGATCCAAAAGCTAGGAAGCAAGCGGTGGTTAAAATCCATGTAAGTTCAGGCAAGATGAGGGCATGCCGAGGAGGAAGGGGTCAAAGTCACTGATGGTAGGAGAGGGCGGACAAAGCTGACAGAACGCTACAGTAATTTTTTTAGGACCCCAGCTTTGTTGCTTAAAAATTATGTAACTGGTAAGTTGTTTAACTTCCCTAAATTTCTGCTTCCTTGTCTTTAAAAAGGACATCACTAGGTAATGGTTCAGAGCATGGATTCTTGAGTCAGACTGCCTGGGTTCACAGTTCATCTGACACTTATTACTTGAGTGACCTTGAGCACTTCATGTAACTTTCTGTGCCTCATTTCTCATCTAAACAATGGGAATATTAACAGAACCTCTGAGTTATTAGAAGTAAAACAATCAGAAGAATGGCTGGCGCACTCTAAGCATTTAAAGAATGTTAGAACTTGCACTATAATAATACTAATGTATTGTATCTCTTAAGATTGCTATAAGGCTAAATAGAATTATGTACCTAAAGGACTTAGTCTTATGCTTGACACATGAAAATAAATTCATAACTATGAGCCAGTCAGGTAGAGACAGTAATTGTCAATGGTTATTGAATTGCTAGTGTGGATATCACTTCTAGATTCTTATTTTTACTGAACAACAATATTAGAAAGCTCTTACTGCTATCCTTACTTCACAGACAGTGTGATCATGTCTGAGTGAGTTAAAATAACTTGCCAAGGTCATATAGATAGTAAGTAGAGAACTGTGGTTGACCTTACTTATCTGTTGTAGATCCGGGATATCTAATCACTAAGATCTACTTACTATAATAGCAGCAGAATGAGTACTGTCATTAACAATGTCAACAGCAATATACAAAATAACATAAACTTTGAAAGATGAAAGTGTTATTGAAAGATGGATGGTAGTAGCAGTGGGAAGTGAAAGCAGAATTCTACCCCATCTCTCCTATGTTTTGAAGTAAGTAGTAAAATGAAGAGGCTCATTTATGAAAGTTTTGTACTTTCTTAAACAAAGTGTAGGTTTCAATAAAGAAATGAAAGAAGT